TTATTCGTTAAAATAGTACATTATTTTCTAGATAGTACATTTTTGTTTGAGAAACAGGACGGCACTAGACGAGGCTGACGAAGGAGATTCTCATTATCAATCAATATACAATGCGTTAGAGTCATTTGTTCAGTGAATAAATCCTGAACACATTCATTTCCTTTCGAAAACGTTGTTCTGTACAAGTTCAATTACCAAAGTCGGATATATCCTAATTAAACTGACACCCATTCAAGCATTGACTATGGAGATTCGCGTACTGAATGTTCAAGCCCTCCCTCTAACGCTCCCCTTGGAAGGGATGCATAACAGTGATGTAAAATTGATTTTTGCAGAGGCTCAAACGAACGCATAGGAGTGACAGGCAAAATGTCTTTTCAGAAGTTAGATCAAATAGTAGGATACATCCGAATCAAACTGTGTACAGATTATTAGAGGTTGAAAGTGATGACAAGGACCATGTGTTCGAGGACCATTTCACAGTTCGACAAGTAAATATTATCCTCAAGACAACTAACAACTTGAAGTCATGACACGAACTGATGATAAGCAAAGAAACCTAAACTTTGTGAAGTTTCGATACAAAATACAATGGACACATAAGAAGTTAGATTGAATAGTAGGATACATCTGAATCAAACTGTGTACAGATTATCAGATGCTGAAAGTGATGACAATGACTATGTGTTTGAGGACCCTATCACAGTTCGGCAAGTAAATATCCTTATTGACAAGACAATTAACAACTTGAACTCATGACATGAACTGATGACAAGGCTTAGCAAAGAAACCTAAACTTTGTGAAGTTTCGATATCAAATACCACGGTCACATTATGAGTCACTACTATCACCGATACAGTACACAGTCATTTTGAAGACAATTGACAACTTATGATAACTTCATTCAGAAGTGAAGAAAAATGAAAAATAGAGCTTATCACCCAGTCCACATATAAGGAAGTCATAACTGTTGCAATGGTTTTAAATGTTTTCACTAAGCAGGTACACAATCATTCTTGAGACCATTGAGAACTCGAGACAATTGAGAACTAAGTCTTGAAAACTGACAACAGTTACGTGGTCCATATATTATGAATTTATAACAGTTACTTCAAAAGTTTCGAATAACCAAACAGTTGGCAGGGCTATCCGAATCAAACGAATACTTACTAAGGTATGAAATGTCAACTACACCTTGCAATACCGAGCCAAACTTTTTACATAACCTAACAGTTTGCAAGGCTAGAACCTAGGATGAATAAAAAACCCTCAGTACCTTACACTATAAAAATTTTAACTAATGTGATATTCCAACACAAAACTTTGAAAATTTTGAGACTTGTCACTCAAAGTGTTGAAAACTCGAAATGATAACAAGAAGCCTATACTATGAAAATGTTCACTAATCTGACATCGTAACACAATACTCTAAAATCATTAGACTCGTTGCTTAAAGTGTCAAAATGTTGAAATCTTCAGACGAAGCCTCTTCACAGAGCGTTCATTATCGGTTTCGATGTTGAACCGTCTACCATGCAATCCGGGATTGGAGGTTGAGGCAGACCTTCAAACTCCGTAATGTCAAACGAGAAATCTTCAATGACACCCCCAACTCTGAGTACAGCACGTCTTAAGGCGAAAAGAACATTTGAAGCTTTTACATAAGTTGCTGTAAAATTTCCGAGCATCCTGTTTTCTCCTCGACGCTCATATATTCGCATGTTGAAAAAGTTCAGATCAGTAAATCTCACCATGATGACAAACATTATCCGTCCTCCCGCTTCGCACTTGAAGATTTTCTCATATTGAAAAGGAAACGCTCCCCCCTTTGTGATGATCGCCAGTCATTCAAACACTTCTATTTCAGTGAAGCCTGCATTTTCAGCCATCTTTTTGAAGTATGTCAAAAAATGTAAGTCTGCACGCTGCAAAAGACAAAAGTCACAATAACAGTGTTTCATCAAGGTCAGGATCCAGAGCCGGAGGTCAGGCTATGACGACCAAAAAGCCCCCACGCGCAAGGTCGAAAATTGATTAAGAACTCTTGTTGATGTGAAGCGTGTAATCGAGAGAGCACAGATCATTACACGATGTATTCCATGGAGTCAAGTGTGTTGTGCACAATCCAGCACGGCATTATGTTCTCCTCATTAAAAGATGACGAGCATCACACTCTCGAAGAGGTAGCCTCCGGCCCACTCCCTTCTCCGGAAACGCTTTGTGTTTGAGCACCGATGTCGCTATCCACGGCGGGAGTTGCATTTCTCTTCACTTCTAGAGGAATAACAAGACCGCTGATGAATTTATGGGCGGAGTCACAACCATTCGTCCTTGTTTGTCTCATCCAAGAAAACGCAACAGTTGTGACATGTTGATATTGTTCCCCGTGCCTTGAAACTTTTCTCCATTTTTTCTCCCATGCGTTGGCATACAATTCTCTTAGTGTGCTCGCTTTCCCAATTGGAACCCAGTATTCCACTTTGAATTGGTTGTAAGTTGGCGAATCTTCGTTCTTGTCAACATCACTGCGGACCTGGCCAACCCAAACTGACACTCCTAGAAGCATGTCCTCGTCCGATGGTTGCATATTGACAAAACTGCCGACATGCACGTCTTCGAAAGGATCAAAGTTGGTCTTAGGCTTGTCCTTCTGAAGACCTACGAACAAAGGTTCTCTCTGTAATTCCGATGCATCCGAATCATAGCAAGAACTCCTGTCTTCAACGACATGAATGACCTCTGGCGAGAAACCGGTGATGGGTGTCGAAGACACCCCGTTGTCGATAATGTCCCTCGTGTGTTTGACGTGATCTTCCCAATACCGAAAAACCCCATCTATTCTAGTCACCTCTTCATCTTGAAAAGTCATCCAAATTTCTCTTTTTTTCCATAAACTTCCAAAAACCTCTTAACACCCTTCAAACCGTTCTTGTAATCGTCAAGGAATGCCGGTTGGACCGACAGAGGATCGAAAGGTTGCTGTGAACCATCATAACCACCATTGTCTGTTTGTTTGAACCAGTAAAGAGGACCATCCTCGGGCAACCATTTAGCGTTTGTGCAATACTCTTTGTAGGATATGACGGGATTATCACCTATCATGTAGAATTTTAGCAAACGCTGCTTCAAAATCCCTGTCATGCGCTTTGAAACATGTGGGTAAATAAGTTCACTCCAGTCTGCTATCCTATCAAGGAAAATACACCGTGGAGGAATCTTATAAGACCGTTCTAGCAAATGAAATAACTCATCCATTGTGTAGGCATCGTTGTCTTTGAGTTTATTGGAGAAAACACTAAAAGTGGCATCGACGTTTGTGTGCGTGTGTCCAACTATCATGAAGCTAATTTTTATTTCTTTGAATATCCCGAATTTCACGAGGAGTGTTGCCAACACGCAGATAAATCTATTTTTGTTTTCTTTAAAGCAGTTGTCAGCTTGAATGCGAAGAAAAGGCGGCAGAGGTTTCCCACTGGATTGGATCTCGGTCAGAGTCCGCATTAAACACGTCGCCGTACTGCTCAGATCGTGTCTGTAGTAAAGAAAATATGTGTAAACATATATAGGCAGATCCCAGCCATGGACCAGAACGGTCGTGAGACCCGTCTTCATCATCCTCTCGTGGTGCAAGTCCTTAGAGTAATTATCCTGTTCTATCTGCGGTATGGTGGTTTTCTTCTGATCCATTGTCGATGATGATGCACACACACTCGGATTGCCACACGATCAAATCCATTTTGCAGCGGCTGTGATCAAGCCTTTGGTTGACTTGCAGCTCTTGATGTTTCCGCATCTTATCTTTGAATTTCTTACGGTCCCTCGCATACTTCAACTTAGCGATGCACTGCTTGTAGAATATACATTTTGCGCACTTCGTGAATGTGTTGGACATAGCGAGACTTACGTGTCACAAGTGCTTACTCCACATAGCGTAGAAAGTGGACTCTGACACGACTTCCGAGTGGCACATCAGAACATCAGAGCGCAACGATTCATAAATTGCTTGTTTTGTGAATGCCGCAGGAATCCTATGGCGAGGACGACACACTCTGTGTTTCCAGACCATGTCATTCGGCATACTATCGGTGTGGTCGTCGACGAATCGTTTCAACAATGTAAACATTGTGACGACTTTTTGGATGGTTTAGACAATCCCGAGTGCCCATGCTCCGTAACCACAACACCATTATCATACATTCTTTTGTAGACATAGAAGGTGTTACGAGAAATGTCAAGTATGTTATAGTACGCTTGCACGCACATCTTCCGTTTGCAAGCTACAGGCCTGACCCGCTCAGCACCACCTTCCATAACTGTGAAGTCGTGTATGGTTTGCAACCACCACTTTGTCCTTTCCGTATAACGTTTCGAGTAGAATGCCTCCCGCACCGGCCTAACATCTTCCGCTGTCAGTTCAACGCAACACATCCGCCTACGACAGAGCATCCCTTGCACTTCTTCGACAGAAAATTTCCCATGAAAAATGGAAGTTAAAAAAATATTTCATAAAAAAAAAATCCTTCATATTTATAAATTATCATTCCAATGTTTGTACAATTCTAAAATTTTCAATTTAATTTGATAAGTTACCGTCTAAATATGAGTTTTCCCTTCCAAATACATCTATTTGTTCAAGATGGAATGAAAGTCAGGACGAGTTTATGAAATGTTTGAATTAGACTTTCATTCTCCTACAACACATATCGTCTAATTTAGATTGGATTAACCTATTTATGACTGAAAATTCTTACTTAGAATGACAGTCCAATTGAAATATTTCATGAACTCATCCTGACTTTCATTCCATCTCTAGCATGCAGTTCAAATGAGAAGGGATACCCCATTCTTGGAAGGAAAATTTTCAAATAAGACGGAAAATTTTAAAATTGGAATGACATTTTTTAAGATGGAATGAAAATTTAAAATTTAGAATGTAATTTTACTCTAAAATGATTATTTAATTCTGGGAAATTTTTCTGTTGTTGAAGAGACTGCATCCCGAGTTTGCGCATAGCTCGCCGATGCTGTGTCTTTTTAACCGGTTCTCTGTTTGCCATAGAATAAGGTATTCTTTCACCGGGCATAGGCACGGGCAAAATGTACCGTATGTGGCGGTCTTCTTCAGAAAGACAGCGCGAGGTCTGATTATCTCGTGAATAGCAGTAGTTAGTGATTTCATCTGTGGACTTTCATTGACTCTCGTGAGATTGCGGGGGGGTAGACGAGGAAACCCTCTCACCCCCATCGAGAACTCCCAAGGATAAAGCGGCAGTAGTGCAGTTATTCACACTGTGCATATACTCCGTCCCACTACAACTACACTCACTGAGATTCCCCTCGGGTATGGAGCTCGACATCCCAATGTCGATCATTTCAGAACATGCTGAAGAGACTCGGGATGTACAATCAACACCAGGAAACAGGCCCCCGCTTCCAGTGTTGATGTGGTCTTCGAGTACGTTAGAACATATGTACGAATGCGCGGTGGAGGTGGACAACTGTGTTTTCTTTCGTCGATGCTGAGGGTTTGAGTCATGTAACCGTTTTCCAGAGGAAGTACATGGCACGAGTCGAGGCGAAGTACTATCGGAACTGCTTGAAACTTTGTCGCCTATAATCAATCCCTTTCCTACCAATTACCGCCAGAAACATAACGGAAGCCAAGCTAGTGCAGGAGGGAAATCGCGATTGACCGTTGTCGCAGCACACGTGCGGGATGCGTCCTAGTCGACCAACGACGAGTCGCGCTTGGGATTTCAACCCCCTAGTGCGTTGGTTTGCGTGCGGGTCCGATAGAGGCATAAAACCATGCATACCCCCTATGCTACAGCGAACGAGAAATGCCATCGGCTGGTCCATCTCTGCGATTACTGCTGAGTAACTTTCGTACTATGGACTGGTGGCTCGGCGGGGATACGCCCACCGAAGGGAGGTGACAACTCCCATAAGGTGGAGGTAAGTCGTGCCTCACGTAGGCCCTATCCTGTCATAGGGGCTCACGAGAGGTATGGTTGGCGCACTCGGTCGAAGCGGCTTGCGGAAGCTCCATGTGTATTTGTGACGAGGATCAGACCGACTTCTGCGTGACATGACCGGGAGGGTCCTGCCCTGTTTTGTGCGGTGCCGGACCTATGCGCTCGTATAGTGGTAAGTATCCCTGCCTGTCAGGAAGGATACCCGGGGATAACAGTTGCCTGCCGTTATCCTAGGTGGAACGACTTCCGGGTATGGGAAAGTGAGAACTAGGCAAAATGAGAAACTTTGTTTTAACATATATGGTCGATCGCGTGATACCTTGATTATCGTTGAAGATGTCTTAAGACTGTGGCTTAAGTGTGAACTGCTGATTATAAACGTATGCACGATTTGTTTGAAAAAAGAAGTGTTGGGCTATACACTTACGCACTCTGACGCATGTAATAGTGGTTTCAACGAGCACCTTGTTATCCTAAGTATCTTTTGGTAATTGGGCGATACGCGGCATGTCTGATGCGGCCTTGGTTGAGTTGAGGCAACATCCCTATTGTTGGGTGTGTCCACTACCGAAGCAAGCTTAGTTAGTAACTGTCAAAGCTACGAGGCTAGTTGATTCATTACGTAATTGATGTGTTAAACCTACTTTGGGAGATAAAGAGGTTAAGCTGAGTCGTCCTCCCGTGGTTGATAGAGCCTCGCTTTAGAGGAACTTTATGGTACGTGAGCGGCATGGATGAGAGAGTGACTGATGAGTGCGAAGTAAAGGGGGTCTAATTGCAATTTTTTTTCCCTAAGCTCAGATTCAGTTGTGGTACGATAGGTACTGCGATGAATAATGTGTGCCTAGACACTTTTGATTGCATCAGTTGGCGGTGAGTTGAGTGACTTGGGGATTGTCTAACTGTAACTACCAAATAGAGCTTGAGAAATAGTGGCTACTGGGCTAGTGGTGTGGCTAATCCGAAGAGAGACCTATGTTTTAAGAATATAACATATATATATAATTTTTTTTATGGTGTTTTTTGTTTGGTTGACTCCGTATGTGCGTTTTTTATTATATTTCTTTTGATGACTGATTGATGATGTACATATGCATTGCATTTCAAGAGGACATAGACTTTGCATGAAACTCACATCTGGCATGGGATCAAAGGTGAATGGGGTGACTCATTATTGTGGAAGGTGGTTCTTCCCAAGGGGAGTTAGCTTGTATAATGTGTCCTTAGTGGAAGTGCATTCTTGAATTCTTATCCCCTCGTTGACCTTAAGAAAACAGTTATCAATCTCAAGAATGATAGTGAGACTCACGTCAGAATTATATTCCTGGCCCATTAGTGAGATGTTGTTATCTTTCTTGTGATAGGAGAGTAACTTCATTATCTGTTGAGAGGAGAAGAAGGGGCTTGTTACCTGACCGAGACTATGATGGCCAAGTGGAAAAACTACTGCTTAGTAAGAGCGGTTCTCGAGTAACGACCTAGGCTCGTCTTCCGTTAAGCAGGGCCACCATATTTGTGAGGGTGCGGATTCGTTGTTCGTTGCTCTGATAGGTATGAATGAGGTTGTCCATCTAACCATGATTACGTTCTGTGAGATGCAAGAGTCGAAATCAGAGAGGATTGCGGTGAGGTTTGATCTTTAGAGCACGGCTCAGGAGTCAATGATATCTCATGAGAATTACGTCGTCCTTCTGTATTATATGCTTCGCTTAAGAGCTGAGGAGGGTAACAATTGTATCATGTTATTTACTCATTTACTCATTGCCTTATAAAATATGAAAGACGTTCTTTAGAGTTATCTTGTTGCATGACTGACAGTTGAGTTGGCTTCATGTTGTTGTTTATGAAGCGTATCGTGCTTTTCAGCTACAACCCTAGTAAATCATTTGTGCTTATCAAATTGTGCATTACTGTTGTGAATATATGCTATTTATTGTGGGTTGTACTTTATTTTGGATTCATATTTGGATTATCCACCTATATGGCATATGTATATTGTGTCCTTCCTTGATAATAGAAACCATACGTGGTTAATGCCTGAGTTATGATTTGAGGGTTTTATTAGTGAATATTTATGTTTTATTATAGGTGGATATTTGTTTAAAGTTTCTCTTCGGTATCGTCGTTGTTTTGAATAGATTCTTATGTGCGCTTCCATGATAAGAACGAGATAATTTAGTGAGATATATTCTACATTAGATTTAGTTGTGTAAAATCTTGCGAGTCTCGACCCTAAGACCGCGTGTTGTTGTTCAACAGGTAACGGGGTAGAGGGAGCTTGAGATGGAATGCTCTCAAGGGAAGATTGGGGTCGAGGAGCTCGCCTCTCTGCTGGATCTGCGAGATTGGGAGCGAGACAACCTATCCAAGGTTGAGATCGACTTCTTCAAGGGCTATCATGTTTCTGACTTCCTTGACAAATTTGGGCAGATAGCGTCTCACTGCGAGTGGAATGAGGAGCAGATGCTAAAGGAGGTTATAAAGTATATCCATAAAGGCTTGAAGGAGGAAGTGAGTGGGTTGGTTAGGAAAGCAGGGTCATCATGAAGGGAGTTCTATAATGATATATGAGATAAATAATGGCTAGGTGAGGAACAACTAACCAAAGACGATCTTGAGAAAATAGATCCGTACAATTATGTGTAAGTAGGGCACTTCCTAGGGGAATATGAGCGCGCCTCCCGCAAGATTTGGACGTTGTCGGAATATGACAAATGCTTTGTCTTCCTCATGAACTTTACGGATGCAGAGCAGCGGGATTTGATCCGTCGGATAGAAGAGAGGCTTATATGAGACAAAATACGAGAGAATTTTGTAGAAGGCGATTTCGATCAATACCTTTGTCATAGGCGCAGGATTATGAGAAGAATGGGCATGGTAAAAAGCCAAATGACCTTGCAGCACGCAACTCTGAGGATATGAAAGATGAACTTCAAAGGACACTAAGGTAGCGAAGTGGAATCATAAATGGGGTGAAATGAAGAAAAAAAAGTCAGGTGCTGAGAGAAGGACGAAGGCAAGGAGTGTTGCAGCTCATACCTGTGAGAGGACGATTGATGCCCAAAACGAGAAGGGAACAAAGGAGCAAAGGGTTCAAAAATGAGTTAGTATAGTCCTACCTCCTGCTACATCTAATCCTCGAGAGGATTGTGACAACAAAGATGAATTGTCAACTGCAAGTTGGAAAGGGTGGAAGAATAGCAGGCGGCGAGAGCAGTGATTAAAGATAATATGTGCTTGTTGTGGAAGAACTGGTCATACCCCTAGTAGATGTAAGATATCAAAGAGAGGAGCAAAGAAGTAAGTCCGTTTTGCTTTAGACAAGGGCTTGGTTCCTCCCAATAACTATCATCATTTTGCTTATCTCGTCTATAGCAAGAAACTGATAGAATTGTGTTAGCAGTCTTAAACGACTTATAAATAAACACTTGAAAGGCTATGACGGTGCGAAAGATCCAGTTGATAGACTAATAGGCGATCATCTGCTTATGTTGCTTTTAAGCTGCGTTTCCAAGTTTTTTTAAGACATACAGTTCTTCTTGTATATATTCTAGATTTCGGGAGAGGATTCTTGCCTTTTAGGTTTGTGCGTACGTTTTGGGTTTGACTATCCACTCTCTAAGCTGATTTTAGGTTGGGTTGAATGAAAGTCGGGGTCTGGTAAAATTCAATTATCTGTACGCTAACATCCTTTCATCTCTGCGAGAACGCTTGAGATCCTTCTGTGTATATCAGTTGGTTAAAGTCTATGTGGTCTATGTAACCGCGCGTTTAATGAACGCGGGTTCCGCGTTCAGTTTTTGAACGCATTGAACGTGTGTTCACTGAACTCGTGTGAACGCTTTTGACCTATTTACGGCTGGGATGAAACACATCGGGTGGGGGGTGTTTCGGCAAGGGGAGGTTGTGGGAGGTGTTGAAGGGTTGCGGGCACCCCCTGATCACTCAATACGAGCTAAAAATAAAAGAAAATGAAAAAAAAAAAAAAAACTACGTTTGTGTGTGTGTGTGTGTGTGTGTGTGT